GGATGCTTTTCCCATGCTGTTCTCATTATAGTGAGTGAGTTCTCACAAGTTCCTTCTTTACACTCTCCTGTCTCTCCTACGGCCTTGTGAAGAAGGTACTTCCCCTTTGCCTTCTGCCTGGATTGTAAATTTCCTGAGGCCTCCCCAGCTATGTGAACTGTGAGTCAATTAAGTATATTTTCTTTATAAATTACCTAATCTCAGGTATTTCTTAACAACAGCGTGAAAAGGAACAAATACACTGTCCCAAAGTAAGTGTGGATTTTGTTTCTTATATATTATTTATGTGATCATCTCATTTAATTCACTGTCTTTCCACTGTAAAATGCATATTTGTTGAAAAGCTGTTGCACAGAGAAACTATACACACATTGATTAGAAGTTAATGTTATTCTCTTGAAAATACTGTTTTCTCTAAGGGCAAACTCTTCTAGCATGCTGTCCTTACACCATCTTTTTTGATAAAGTGACAATTCAACTTATCTAAATCCATACACCTTTGAAAATAAAATTGGATAGCATGAGTAATTACATGGAGGCAATAGGCACAAATGGAGACTGTTCTGAAAAAACTGGGGTGTATAATTACTATTCTTAAAATGCACTATGTAAAATCACACATTAAGTGTGGCAATTTCTAAGGTCTTGGTGACTTGAGACCCTACCTTTTCTTACTGTGGTGGCTAAGACAGCCATCAGAAGCTGGCAATCCTATAACAAATGCAGTACATGTTTTTTTTTAATGGTGATTTTTTCTTATTCTGCAAAGATAAATGTAATATATTAAGGAATACATTAAGTAGTGTATATTACTAGAGGGAATCTGGATGTAACCAGGATAGCGAGGACAGAGGATTGCATGGGAAGGGGGTAGTTCTTCATCTAAATCCATGAGGACACCTTTCATGACTCCTCTGAGGTAAGCAACAGAGACAGGAAAGGAACAGTATCCTTGGATGATTTTGAGATCCTCTAAACAGTAGATGTCTCTGTATCCTTTGGTCTCTTCTATTCTGTAACTATGTCCTGGGTGATCCCTGGGTATTCCACTTAATTGCATGCCATTTCATCCTTGTTCAGTAATTATACTTGTGCATAGTTATGAGTAAAATGATTCTTCTATATATGCATTAAAGTTAAATTTTGCTCCTGGGGTTTAGTGCATGTGCCTTCTAGTGGCATCAATAAGGAGCATGTGTGCTTCTTCCTGCCATGTGTGAGAGAAGAATATGGTCAATTACGATAGTGAAATTTACTAAATGTGATGATAAACACTTTTAAAAGCAGCTCAACAAATGATTATGGATTTCACACTTTTACTAATTGCTTCAATTTTTGACTGAAATAAAAATCTTCCACTTGCTTTAGTATGGAGGGATAGAGATCTCTAGAATATATTACAAATATCCTCAAAGTTTTTCTCAGTGTGTGTCTTCCCCTTTTATTCTGGCCTCGTTGTTCCTAAACGCTGGTAACTCTTTTCTTTTTTCCCCATATAAAACTGATAAGTAGAGGTAAGTACATTCCTACTTTTACATATCCCTATTTTATTTATATATGGTTAACCCAAATGTCTTTCTGATGTCAATAATCTCCATTATTTCAACAGAATTGTTCAGATTCTAAAATTCTGTAGGATACAGTGCAGATTTGAGTTGCATTTCTTCTTCCTCATTGCTTCACTTCTCTGCTCAAACACTGTTGTCTTAAGGAAGCTTTCCTGGATTCATGCCCATCACCCTACATCTTGACTACTTTGGTTATTCCCTGTTACACTCTTTCAAGTTGCTCTCTACTTTTTCATTATAGAATTTTCCACACTGTATTTTATATTTATGTTTACTTGTTTCTGTTCTGCCCAGTAGAATATAATTTTATGATGTCAAGGAATGTCTCTACTTTGCTTGCCATTTTTTCCAATTAACTTATTGGAAAGAGCACACCATACAGTAAATATTCAAAATCTACATGAGAAGAAAACAGGAATGAAAGGAAACAAGAAAGAGGGATAGCAGGCCAGTCACAGTGGCTCATGCCTATAATCCCAGCACTTTGGAAGTTGTGGCAGGAGAATTGCTTAAATTCAGGATTGTGAGACCAGTCTAGGAAATAAAATGAGAACAAATCTGTATAAAAATAAAAAAAAATTAGCTGAACTTGGTGTCATGCACCTGTGGTTTCAGCTCTGTATGGGAGGCAGAGGCAAGGAGAATGCTTGAGTCCAGCAGATTGGGCTGCAGTTTTTTCACTGAGGTCCTTTCCAACATTTTGAATGTTAATGCATCTGTCAGTAAATGATGATTTCATATGATATATATATATATATATGTTTTACATATGATTTCATATGATATATATATATATATATGTTTTACATTGATATATAAAATTTATGTACTTACTGTGTATAGTATGATGTTTGGAGTGTATTTTATAAATTGTGGAGTGACTAAACCTATGCATTTGTTTCCATACTTATCATTTTGTGGTGAGAACACTTTACAACTACTCTCAGCATTTTTCAAGAGTATAATATATAATTAACTGTAATGATCATGTTGTATAGTATAACTCTTGAACTTATTTTTCTTGCACCTTTGCTCAACATCTCCCCAGGCCCCGCACCTACCAAAATCACCCTAGCTCCTGGTAGCCACCATTCTACTTTCTACTTCTATGAGGTCAACTTTTTAGATTCCACATATGAGTGAGATCATGTGGTATTTGTCTTTCTGTACCTGGGTTATTTCCTGTAACATAAGGTTCTCCAGGTTCATTCTGTTGCAAATGACAGGATTTCCTTCATTGTTTTATGGTCAAATAGTATCCTATTGTGTATATACACCATATTTTCCTTTATTCATTCATTCATTGATGGACACTTAGCTCGATTCCATATCTTGGCTATTGTGAGTAATGCTAGTATAATCGGGGGAGTGCAAATTTTTCTCAACATACTGATTTCATTTCTTTTGGATGTATACCTAGTACTGGGATTATGAGATTAAATGGTAGTTCTATTTTTGTTTTTTTTTTGAGCAAGTTTCCCACTGTTTACAATAATGACTATATTAATTTATATTTCTACTTACAGTGTACAAGGATTCCCTATTTTCTATACAGTGATAATTTCTTTGAGAGTAAGTTTGAATATTCAGCCCCAGGCCAAGATGCCAAAAACAGATACCATTTGTTCTAAATTTTGGGGGGAAATAATACATTTATTATGTTGTTTTTATTACCCCTTTTTAGGGTGGAAACATTGTATTTTCCTGTGTTCTTAGCCTTCTTTTCTGTTGCTTTTCCTTCCTTCCTCTTTATTAGGACCTTCCTGTAATTTCGTTATTTTGCTTTGTGGGTATTGTTGCATTTGTTGATAGAAAGAGCAATGTGAAGACTGAGGGCTTCATAAGGCCTTAAGTAATTTGTTCAATATTATTACAGAACCAGATACACTTTGCTATCCTAAATAGTTCATATGCCTGTCCTTTTACTATTCATTAAGCTATTTGAAGAAAAGTGCTGTAGTATGTTTGTGTTGGATATTTTTCTTTATGTCTTCCAGGTCCAATATCCACTTTTTTCTGTCTGTGTTCCCAGGGGTGTCTGCTTGGGTGAAACTGATGATAGGTACCAGCAGGGGATCACAGGTGGGGACAGAGTTAGGCTGGAATTGGTTCCCAGGCTCCTGAGATATCTCAGGATGGGCTATCGCCCATTCCATTCAGTGCTCTCTGGGCTCCAGTAATTGCTCCTTGTCTTTACTTAGTCTAGGGCTAAGTGAAGCCCCTCACAGCAACTAGGTATGAGGCACTACATCATCCTTTGTTCTTTAGCCAGTTTCTTCTATTTTGCTCACTTTAAATATGCTGTTTCCTGAATTCATATATTTCTCAGTTCCTAGCACAAATTCTACATTTTTGTTGAATGAAGAAAATGCATTTTATCAAAAATTCTATTTTACAAATCCTAATTTCTCTTGACTAAGTTCCAAAAATATAAGGAATCTACACTTGGAAGTGAGAGCAGTAGTTCCCATTGATTCTATGAAGAATAACATATTAGAGTCCTTATTCTAAGCAACCATTTTTTAAATTTATATAAATAAAATAACTGTTTTTTAAATTTATATAAATATTAGTAATGAGAAAAATGGTCTAGGAATTGATTTCACTTGTTCTTTAAAAGGTGTAACTTGCTAAATGATTTAATCTACTGCTAGTAATATAAATTAATAGTTAATATTTTCATTTTGAATTTTATTGAGATATCTTAGAAAGTATATTCAAATAAACAAAGAAGAGGAAAATGAACAAATACAAGGACTGGTACTTTGATTTGTGTAACTTAGGTATACTATTAGGTTTAGTCATAATAAGTGTACTTTTCAACTCTTCATCTGTGAGCCATGTTTGGTTGCTAAAGAATGCCTTCTTTTGCACAGAAAGTGAAATGCAGCAGGGAGGGTGTGAAATATCTCTTACCAGTTTTATGTGCTTCTTATGCTTCTACTTTGAATGCAGTTTTTAATCTATTCTGTTTATTTACAAAAATCATATGGACACTGATTTCTTTTCTCCAGAGATACACAGATTTTTGGTGCTGCAGCCCTTTAGGTACTATACTTGGCATTTTTAAAGTTTCCTATGAATTGTTAACAGATTTTTTTCCTTTTAATTTCCCTGCTAATTTTGGAAATTTTTAGTGTTTCATGTGTATTCAAATATAATAGATCATTCATTAGATTAGGAAAGAATTGTTGATGAATACATGATAATAATAACAATTTTATTTTATTTTTCCAGTACTCCAACACAAAAAATGAGTCTTTTTGTGTGTGATTTTATAGTTTATCTGAACAAATAATGTGTACAAATTGTGCACTGAGTACTCACAGCTTTTTTGGTTTTCTTTATAACTTGCACAAGTACTATATTTCATGATTGTAAGGAAGACAATATATCATGTCAATTCCTTAAGTAGTTTTGCTGTGCCTCAGTTAAAATCCATGACCTACTACTTATTTCTGAGTCTCAGTTTCTGTGTCACTAAAACTTGGATAAAAATCATACTTATTAATATGGTAGTTAATGAGAATTCAATATTGTCTTACATTTAGTAAGTGCTCCAAATATGTTAGAGGCTTTTATTCTGAAATCTCATAATATTTTTCTATACCTTTTGAAATGCATGGGTATTTCTGCTCTCTATTTTACTTATTTTTGTAAAAACTATGTCATCAACTGGTTATTTTTGTAGATTCCTACGACCTTTTTTTTTTTCCTTTTTTAATAGAGACGAAATCTTACTATGTTGCCCAAGCTGGAATGCAGTGGCTTTTCACAGGTGTGATTACAGCCCACTGCAGCCTCCAATTTCTGAGTTCAATCAATCTTCCAGCCTCAGCCTTCTGCCTAACTAGGACTACAGGTGTGCACCCATATCTTTGACAGAGTTTTATCTACCACAACAATAATTCTTATTTTATCAGGTTTGCAGTAAATATTTGCACATATATGAAGAAATGTATTTTTAATGGGTATATGTATTTTTTAACAGGAAAATCACTATCTGAAATTCTCCATAGCTTCTTTCTAAAATAAAATAATTTTATCATTTTGCTAAAAAGATGTAATACAAGCTGTAGAGCTTCAATTAGCCCTTAGAAAGCATGGCTATTTTCATGAAGTGTGAATGTTCTCTGAGAATGGAAATTTTAAGAACAGGAACTTAACTGAAAGTTAAGATTATAAAAGGGAAACAAGAATGAAAGAGGAATCATCAAACCACAGTTCATTAAGTGTCTTCAAGATGTTACCTACTTCGTATAGACTTAGCACTCCAGGTGGAGCATGGCAAAGGAAGATTCAATTCCCAGGCTGCTCTCCCTGTGGTTAGATAAAAGAAAAAGAAAAAGGAAAAGAAGGATACAAGTTATACAACTGAGATTATATGAGACTTTTTTCACAAAGTAATAAAAAGATAAAAAGAAAACTGGACTTGCTATAGACTTGCTGTGTGGCTGTGGGGGGGGGTTTTCTCCCTTCTCTATATGTTGGGGAAAACAAAAACTTAGAAGTGCCTCTAGACCAGATAATCTGTTACATCTTTTACAGAGAATAAACATAAATTATTACCATTATGCTTTTTTACATTGGAGACAGACTGCTTTTAAATTATTTTCAGTTATTACATAACCATTCAATTCCATGAACAAATTAGAGGCATTTGTTAGATGTTTAAAAAATAACAACTTAGGTTCGATTATTTGTGCATGACAAGAAACAGTGTTTATAAACTAGAATTAAAAGACATTACCATACATATATTTCCATATTGTCCTGAAAAGCATGCTTCATAAGTAAACAATTTTTAAGGAGTTTGTGAGCTTGAAATGTATATATCTGTGTGTATACATGTATATATACATATCTGTGCATATATATGTATACGAATGCAAATGGATCTCAAAGTGTAATACCCTGAGTTTAGCTGTTCAACTTGCAACATATTAGCCCAGAATTACTTACACTCTGGTTGAAAAAGGTGAAGGACTAGGAGTTTAAACTTTTACATGGGATCATTTTTCCCCCCTTTTCGCATGTATTTTCTTTGTATTGCTGAATTGATTTGCTGATGCTCAAATAAGTCTTTCTATCTGGGTTGGGATAAACTAGTAATTTTCATGTCTTTTTTAATAAGGTAGAAAAAGCATCATTTTTTTTTTTACTGGAAATGCACTTTATAATGTGAATTTCTCAAATTTAAATATGAGGGCATGAAAGGATAGAAAACAGTATTTGTTGGTCCACAGATATGACATATTTTATAAAACAAAATAAACAAGCCCACCCCTGTAGGATTTCCCAGCTTGCTGTGCTTCATTATAGATTGTAGAGCTATGATTAAGAAAAACCTGCTTTTTCTTTTATCTGTACCACATATTGTACTCATTCTCCTCTAGCTATTTGTGAGCAATCAGGTCCTTAAACTGAAACCCTCTTAAAATTTGTCTTCAGTCTCTTCGGAAATATGCTGTTATTCTCCACACTCCCTGCCACCAATGACTTAATCAAGACAATATGCAAAATGTTATTTCTCCACTGCTTACATCTCTCCAAAAGGGGATCATTATTTTAAAGTCAAGGTATCTAGTGTAAAAGTATGGGTGTTGGAGGATAACCCTGTGATTGGATAGCTTGTTGAGATGCACTGCTCTAGTCCAATTCTCATTTTGATTTATTTAAGTTTGGATATAACAGTATTAAATTAGCAAAGACAAGCAATGAACAAAGCCCTGGAGATGAATTAGCCATTGTCTCTGGTCCATTAATCTCCTCTTCAATTCTAGAGAATTGTGGCTCACCCAGACCCGAAGATCAAATAAAATGCCTAATTGGGAAAATCCTAAACAAGTGTGTCCTGGGGAGCTTGAATTTATTTGTCACCCACTCAAACAACTGTGTTGTTTATATAAGTCTTTAAAACCCTGATACTTTTCCGCTACTATATCTTAATCCCTGGTTCTTTATGCTCAGGAGGGCAATTTAGAGTTGTTTTCAATTAAGTAGAATGGAGAGGGGCACTTATTCCAAAAACAGATAGCTGTGTTGTGAGTATTTTGCCAAACATCTTGAGTGGTTTAGATTTAAGCATCAGATTGGGAGAATCTTTGGGATCTCCTTGCAGATAATGATATCTGCTCTTTGGTGCTTTTAATATCAGTAACAAATGGTTGAACATAACCACAATTAAGGACATAAGTGTGGCAAGGAAGGTTGAGATGTTAAGACTAAACACAAATGTGAAGCAAAGAGCTGAAATCATTATCTAGGATGGCAATCCAGATCACGCAATACTTTCATTTAAAATATGCAGATGATATGCAAATAATTGTGGTCAAACTTTTATTTAACACCGGGCAAAATAGAATGAAAATAAATCCATTGAATTTTGTTCACACAGAGGTGGAACATTCATTTTCATGACCTATAATGTGTTTTATATATATATGCACACACTTCATGTTATATATTAAAAAAACTGAGTGTCAATTTACTAACAGCAAAGTACACACTCTGTTAATATTGACTGTCTCAACAATAATTTAAACTGCAATACTTATGTTGCATCATGTTTTATAAAAATCAAGTCATTGAATTTTCACAGTGAACCAAGGGAAGACAATATTATTAACCCTATTTCATAGATGAACAAATGGCAGTGGCATCTAGTGGTTAGAGATTCACCCAAGATTGGTCAGCTGGTGAGTGGGTAGAAGCAAAGTTTACACTGCTTTTAAAGACTAGGCTGATTTTAAAGACTAGGCTGTTGGTACTCGACTGCAGGCTATTATCACTAAGATTGCAGAAAGTCTTAGATGAGAGACAAGGGTATTAGATTTCAGAATTGTATGAGAAATTTTCTATTTAGCAATATCTATGTGATGGTGAAAATCCACTTAAATTCTTCACTGTAAATTTATTTGGCTAAGCTGACTGATGGCAACATATCTACTTTGTACTGTATTCCTTCAGCCTGGCCTCCTATTTTTAGGTGTGTTAGTATACTTTGTTTTCAGCTGAAGTTATTAATTGGGACAAAATGTTAACTGCCTGGGAATGTTGCATAAGGATTAAGTCAACTTATGTGTTACTTTGATTTAATTTTCTATTGTTGATGAGCTATACATGAATTGGCTTTTAAGAAATATTCATTGAGGTAAAACAGTCTGTATTTAAGATGAAGAATAATTTAAGCAGAAGGGTTATGTGATGATAATTAGTATGATACCTTAGGCATAATAGTTTTGAATTTTGTTTTTATGTAGGCTAATTTATAGTTATTAGGTTTGACAATCATGTATCAAATGGATCACTGATTTACAATGTATTTTTCAGTTAAGGGACATATAGATACAATGTTTTACTTGATTTTCAGAACAGTCTTGTGGGTTATGATATTTTTATTATTTCCATTTTATAAGTGAAGAAATAAAGACATACAAAGGATGAGTGATTAGATGAGCTATAGCAATAACACAGCTACCTAATGTAAAACCTGAGTAAAAGAACAAAACATTGAGACAGGAGAGATTATACAAATATTAGAGTAAAACATTGAGACATTTTCATTATTCTACTTTACCTTTTATGTGAAGTTATAACAACTAGGTAGATTTGGAGTGGGCAATCTAAGCATTCTTAACTTTTAGAGGCAAAGTTTAGAGAAAGTCAACAATCCTGACAAGGGTCCAGAAAAAAATGATACCAACAGCCAGGTTGAAACTGATGTAATATTTTTATGTAACTGAAACATTTACAGGGCTAATTTCTACAATTTGAAGTACTCAAAGATAATTTTAAAATTGAGTACAATTCTAGTCAGATTTTCCAACCTTAAAAGGGATAGTTATGTTCAGTCTAAAATATTTACTCATACATTACTAATCAGTTATATATCAGTGAGCAACAGATGTCTAGAAGACTCTAGATCTGTGATCAATAACATTAAATTTAAGAAATCTTCCTCGCAAAATAACATAATCTCCATGTTTGTTAATTAATGGAAGGTGGTACTGAAGCATCATCTATATCTGATATTGAAAGATGTTATGATTCTGAGACTGTATTAACAGCATAGCCAGGCAGTTCGGGCAGACGACATACTGATTATTTGCCTTTTGTATAGAGAATTAATTATAGCTTGACTTTGCTCATGTTTTGGTCTGGTTGTTTTAACGATGTGTGGCTTCCATCTGCCTTTTTAGAAGCATTCTGTAAGAGAAGCAATATTAATCTCACTGGCTAATAATTCATTTAGCCAGTAAGTTAACAAAAATGTATTAATTAATTCTTATGCACCAGAAACTCTGTTAGAATCTGGGGATACAAATGTGAGCAAAAATAGACATACTTTTTGTTTTCATAAAATTTAATGTCAAGTATAAAAGACAGATATTAATCAAGTAATGTGTAACAAATAATCTAAACCACTTTCTTTCTTTCTTTTTTTTTTTTTTTTTTGAGACTGAGTTTCGCTCTTGTTACCCAGGCTGGAGTGCAATGGCGCGATCTCGGCTCACCACAACTTCCACCTCCTGGGTTCAAATAATTCTCCTGCGTCAGCCTCCTGAGTAGCTGGGATTACAGGCACGCGCCACCATGCCCAGCTAATTTTTGTATTTTTAGTAGAGACGGGGTTTCACCATGTTGACCAGGACGGTCTCGATCTCTTGACCTCGTGATCCACCCGCCTTGACCTCCCAAAGTGCTGGGATTACAGGCTTGAGCCACCGTGCCCAGCCCAAAACCACTTTCTTAAAAGCTATGAAAGAGAGGTATATTGTAGTCTGTAACTTTGAGAACATGTGATCCAGGAAACTAAATTCATCTGGAGAGTCTGGTAATGTTTCCTTGCAAAATCTGTAAATAAATTAAGGATGAGTATAAGTTAGGTAAAAAGTGAAGGACAGAGCAGCTGTAAAATGGGTACAGTCCATGCAAAGGCTTCCTTACAGGGGAAGCAAGGCATACACAGTGATTGGGGAGCAGAAAGTGAGAAAGAGTATGGTGGACTATGAGGCTGGAAAAATGAGTTGATGCCCTGAAGAAATTTGGCTTATTAATCCCAAATGGTCATTTCTTCATATCTATATACATTCAACACATAGATGTTTCATATGATGTTTCTATGAAGATGTTTTCTTGGATGGGATTAACGTTTAAATTGATGGGCTTACATTACCTTCTATAATGTGGCAGTGCCTCCTTCCATCAGGTGAAGGCCTTAATAGAACAAAGGCCATCCTCCATTCATCAGGAAAGACTTCTGCCAGAAGACTGCCTCTGACCTCAAGCAGTGACTTTTCCTTGACTGTAGCCTGCCA